CTTTCTTTCTCCTTTTTACTATTCCTAAAAAAAATAATACAAAAGAAATGAGAAATAATATTTAAAATGAGGAGTTAAAAATATAAAAAAATTGTCAGAGCGTGAATTAAAAAAATGAATAGTTAAAATAAAAAATATTACTTTTTTAGTAACTAAAATAGATTTTATTATTGGAGATGCTCTCAAAGCTACAACTTTCTTGAGTAACTAGAAACCTGCGGAATGGATTTTTACAGCAGGACAGCCGTCATTATAATTTTCCCTCTAAATTCGATCAGACGTTTTTTGATTCTGAAATTTTATCAATGTTTATCCACTTACAGTATTAACGACAATTGTTAATTTATACAAATATCATTGAATATTTTATAAGATAAATTTTATTCACACTCCTTGTAAATAAACATAATTCCAACGACACTCCTATAAATAAACCTATCTTTAACAATATCACATTCCAATTCTAAAATATCAATGCACTCTCTTTTAGTTCTATTATATTAATTTTTAGATTCATCAATTTAATATTTAATTTTATCAAATTAATGTCATTTATTTAATTAAAATTAAATTAATATTTCATCTCATCTCATCAAATCAACAGATATTTAATTTTATAAAATTTGCATTTAGTTATATTAATTTAATATTTTATTTCATCAAAAAAAAAACTAAAAGAGTAATATTTTAGACACATGTAGCCAAGTAACATCGTTAATTTCTAAGTTTAAGTATAACAAAGCAAACTTATATATAGGACATATATATATATATATATATACCATAAGTGGGGGCATTGATTTGGATGGTACATGCTATCTGCTGACAAAGTGTCTCACATGGTAGATACAGCTTTGTCCCCATTAAACTGTCCAGTAATACAATGTTTACATGCTTGCCGACTATATATATATATGTGAAACCCACCCATTTGCATGGAAAATTTTGTTTAATGTAGACTAAGGCCAAATTTTAATTATGACAGCCAAAGTACAGCTACAGACCTGGCATCATCCATATGCCTTGAATTATTCAAATTAGGGTAAAATTCATACATACCCCCAATAGATAAATCTAATTTTAATGACACCTGTTTTTTATTTTGAAATTTCACTGACACCTTTTGTCGGTGTTTATCGTGAAAATACTCATTTTACCAATTTACCTCCCAAACTTTATACTGTTTGATATATTAAGAGTCTTTATACATATATATATATATATATATATATATATATATATATATAATGCTACCACCCTTCACACATCATCCTTTAAATATCAAATTTAAATATTATTTGATAAAATTTAATGTTAATTAAAAATTTTGGTCTTAACTTGATAAAATTAATATTAATTTAGTGTTAATTTAATAAAAGTAAATATTAATTTATTATTAATTTGATAAAATTTAATTTTTGTTGAATAAATTTGAATGTTATTTTGATGAAATTGAATGTTAATTTTGTATTAAATTAAATTTTTTTTATTAATTTAATAAGGTTGAATGATAAATTAATAGAATTTAATATTCTATTAATATAATTGAATTTAATTTGATAAAATTGAATGTCAATTTGATATTGATTTGATGAAATTAAATGGTAATTTAATTGTAAATTAAAGAAATAACATTAATTTAACTAAATGTTAAATTAATGTAACTGAATGTTAATTTTATAAAATTGAAGATAAATTTTGTGTTGGTTTGATAACATCGAATGTTAATTTATTGTTAAATTAAAAAAATTAAATTAATTTGATAAAATTAAATATTAAATTGATAAACCTAAATGTTCATATGATAGAACTAAAGGTTAGTTTGGTGTTAATTTCAATAAATTAAATTTAAATTAATATAATTAAATCTTTCTCATTTTAAATCAACAAAAAATTGGTTAAAAATTCATTGGTGTTTATGTTGATTTGATTTAGTTGTGGTGGTTTTTGGAGATGTATGTTACAAATTTGGTAGGGAATGGTCGTGGTGTGTATAGTGGTGAGGTGATGCAATGGTGTGTGTAAATAAAAACATATATAGAGTGAAGTGGCAATGAAGAAGAAAAGGATAAAATTGACATTCTAGAAGAAAATTAAGATGACATAAGCCCTTTTTAGTTATCAATAATGGTTTGTGATGGCAAGGGGTGTAAATATATGAATTACAAGGAAGTACAATGAAATTTTTGAATCGAAAGAAGATGTCGTTGAAATTAGACATACTTATAAGAGGTGTGGATGAAATTAACCTTTAAATTACCAAATTCGAATGTCCGAACCCAAAGTAAAGTAATCAGTAGCTATATAAAGATTTTCGATACGAATATGTGTTTTGGAGACTTAAGTTTTTAAGAGTCAACCAAACCCAACTCGTATTGAAACTTTAATTGTGTAATTCGAGAAACAAATTTGCAATAAACCCAACTTTAACACAAAAAAATTGAAGTAAAGAATTGTATTTTAACTTTAACTCGAGCTATGTAATTCTAACAACACATTTAAGGATGTATAGGTGCCTAGTTGAAGGCTTGTGGAGGAATTCTGGTTGAGGGTTTTATAATTTAGATGGACCATTCAACATTTATAATCCACATAAATTCACAAAAATAATTTATTACTATGAAAATTAAAGAAAAATTATAAGAAAGAAATTTAAATTCAAAAGCACAGAGGATAATCTTCCACCACACATATTGCGATTTGAAACATTGCGATTTGAAACATCAACGGCAGTATGACAATCTTACAAAATATTTAGTTGTTCATGTCAGCATTATGATAACTGCACAAGATGATTCCTGCGTAATCAATGAGATAGCAACACCGGTGTTGAGCCACGTGAGAGAATTTTGGAACATATTTTATATTAAAAATTCTACAATAAGAAAAAAAGTTAAAAAGTCTCGGAACATATATTTAACATAACTCTATTGAGAGAATAGTTTATACAAATATAAACATCCTGTAATAAATATATATTACTGAATAGAAATTCAACCAAGTGTTGAACTACTATATTATCTATTTTTTATTTCATTTTTTTTTTAAATATTGCAAGCCGACTAAATTGGGTTGGTAACGGTAATAAATTCCTTTTGAAATTGAATTATTGGAGATCGGAGGTTGTGGTTGTAGTTGAGGTTGTGGACCTGTGGTATGGCCGCGTCCAAGTCACCTTTGTTTTGACGGTGAATGAAATTTTCGTCAATATTTATTTTTAGGGCAATTGCTTTAGGATATAATACGAGGATTTATTGATTTTGACTATTAAATTGTTAATAAGTCTTAACATTAAAATATTATTAGGCTCGGGAGATTTAGAGGGTCGGTTCCCAGCCTGACCAGATTACCAAATCTCCTGATTAGCTGCGTAGTGGGCCCCACATGTCCAGTAGCGAGCACGCTGGTCCGATGCCCAATGGCTGAGTTCCATGACGTAACCTAGTAGTGCACCATGGCAACAAACTTGCACACATTTTTTGGTATTTTCAGATTCAATCCCCTAACTTGCTAAATTATTACAAATCAGCCCCCTTCCAAGTTGTTAATTAACAGCAAAAGAGCATTTTTTTTTTAAGAATATTTTATGATTGATCATAAATTTTTTGAACTATAATTTACACTATTTTGAATTGTATCTTTGACCTTCAAAATATTATAATTTTACCTTAAAATGTTGTAACTTTTGATACTATACTAAAAAAAGTACTGTAATCGTTTTTTTATATTTTTGTTTTTATAACCAACCAGATTAATTGCATATACAAACAATTACAATAATGCTTTGTTTAGTACGATTGAAAAATAAAAAGATAGAAAGTTGAAAAAATGAAAAGTTGGAGGGATAAATAACATATCATGTGTTGGTAAGGAAGGAAAATAAGAAGGACGAAAAATAAATAAATTAACTTTTCTTCCAACTCACCAAAATCAATTCCTTCAAAATTAAAAAAAAAAAAGTGGATAGAAAGTTAATTATGCGTGTTGAAATATATGTTATTTGTCCATATTCCTTTGATATATACATATATCATATTTATCAATTAGATATTATGTATATATTAATTTCATATGTCGATATAATGGTAAAATATGTATTTATATTTTTTAATAAAAAAATATAAAAACATAAAAAATTAAAATTAAAAATTTTAAAAATAAAAAAATAAAAAAATGAAAAATATATTTTCCATCTTCTTAAACACACACGAAAAAAAAATTAATTTTTCCTACTTTCTATCCCTCTTACCAAACACAAATGAGAAAATGAAAGATTCTTCCTTTAAATGATAAAAAGTGTATCACTCATATTTTTCATTTTTCTATTTTTTAAAAATCTACCTTACCAAATTGACCATAAGGCTTGTTTAGACTTACATTAAATAACCCATATCAAATTGCAAGTAAATTAAATATAATCTGAATTTTTAGGTCTGTTATGTAGTGAGAAACTTAATCCAAGCAATTTTGGCTTTGCCTAATAGGTTTGCTTAACTCAAATAGGTCACTGTTTACAAAGAATGATAATTTTATCGTGAAACAACCCATATCCAAAAGGTAAATGATCCAAAATTTACCCCCAAGTAGATTTAAACTATACCTCTATATTTGTTGAGAAATTAATTATTTATGGCCAATTTTTTTGCTAAAAATTTGAGTTTATTTTCAGCTCGACTTTGATTCAGAAACTTCCAAGGTTTCCAAAGACAAGCCAGACCAAAAATTTAAGTTGAGCCACTTACAAATAAATTGAATCTACTTGTTGAGTATTCTTAATTTAACAAACTCGTCTGGATTAACACCCCAAAATAGAGATGCTATCTCCTGAAGGCTAGCCTTGTCCAATCCTTTGTCTTGTGTCCCTCGGCTAAAACTCAACCTACATTTTCCCCTACTCTTAACGAAAATTACTAGAAAGATGAACCTTGTAATAACCGTCATTGGCCTCCTATAAAAACACAGGTACCTTACCTACATTTCCTACGCATTCACTTTCATCAATGGCTTTGCAGGTACTCTCTCTCTCTCTCTCTCTAATATAACAAAACAAATGCAATTTTTCTTCCCTGCTTTGGGCTCAGATTCTTTTCAAACAATATTGATGGTAGGAGGAGTTTGAACAATATGCTGAGCAGGCCAAATCATTGCCTCCAATGACCAAGGATGCAGATAAACTCATCCTGTATGGGCTTTATAAGCAGGCAACTGTTGGAGCTGTAAACACTAGTAAGCATACTAGCTCATAAATAAACACAAGCTTACCTCTATCTCTCCTTAAATCATCAACCATTCTAATGACCTCTATTTTTCCCAGACCGTCCCGGAATTTTCATCCCAAAGGAGAGAGCCAAATGGGATGCATGGAAACAAGTTGAAGGTAGTAGAAAACAATTGGGAATTTAAATCATAATACAACTTTCTGACCTGTTTAATTTTTCTTTGCTTTTTATTTTGTAACAGGGAAGTCCAAAGAGGAAGCAATGGCTGAGTACGTCACAAAGGTGAAGCAGTTGCAGCAAGTAGTTTCTGCATAATTGGTTCATCCATCAGTTTCTATTTCAAAGTGTGTTCATGATCATGTTGTTTGTTCTATCATGTTTATTTCTCAGAAAATTGAACTTGATCTTGTTTAAATAAATCATATTGAGACGACGACTCTTTCTAGAACTACATTGAGTTGGTCAAATGTGAAAACCACAAAAAATCCATGTAAGGTCCTGAAAAGGGACTTTTCCTTCTGATCATGGGCGGAGCTACTTGAGGACCGGGGAGGCAGGTGCCCACTCTCAATTTTTTTTTTTAAATATTACTTATGTATATTTCAAATAATTTGAAGTATATTTAAGTGTGTCTACTCTATCATTTTTTGTTCTATCAATTAGTATAGTCCCCGTACCTAAATAATTATGAATTTTTTGACACACTTTGGACACTTTAAGGATACATCTATAAAAGTTTTTGACATATCGAACTGATTTTTTTTAAGCTATAGAGATTTCAATTAAAAAAAAAAGCTATAGAAATTATGACAATTAGGTTACTTAATTAAATGAGTGATCAATGACTAATAGTTTGATCATATAAATGGAGAAATATTATAGTATCTTTTATGCAGTTTACTTCATTTGTTATGAAGGGGTATAATTAGCCCCTCTTTTTTGTTTGTTTTTGTTTATGTATGCTATATTTATCAAAGTTTCACCATTTTTATATTTTATGAATTTTTAAGTATCGAATAAAATATAATAAATTTGAATACATTATTTTATTTTTATTGATTAGAAGAAAAAAAAATTAAAACTTTTTAGTAAATTGCCCACCTTAGATATAATTTCTGGCTCTGCCCCTGCTTCTGATCGCGATGTATTCATCTGCCAAGCATTTAACTCAGGAAACATGCAATATATGCAGTAAGCAGAAAACTTTTTTCCACAGCATAAAAGAAGGAAAAACAATGTAAACCATTCCAAACCAAGATGAGGTACATGAATAATTATTCCCGACTCCCGAATGGATTGGTTCTGTCATCTGTGTCCTTTTAGTCCCCAACGTTTGAATTTCATCAACTTTGGTAGGTACTTGAAGTATTGAATTTTAGTTTCTGTCCCCCAATCTATCGCTGTCCAACTTTCAGACAAAATTAGACCACGTGCTGCTCAAGTGACCCACGAGATGCCCTTCTTGTAAGGCCGCTTGAGCAACTTTATGTCTAATATCATAAAGAGGTTTGAAGATTACATATACCGAAATTCAATACACCCCCAGAGACTAAGCTAAAGCAATCGAAACACTGAAAACTACAATGACATATAACACATACTAGGTGTGAGATATAACCCTTATGCTTAAAGACCTGAAATTCTTATCATTCAGCAGTAGAATGATCAAAGAAAGCCACAAGCATTGTTGGCAGCATAACAGATTTAAAATGCAACAGAGATCTGCTTATGCAGAAGCAGTCTAAAACCCGAATGCAAATTTACCAAGTACATGTGTCTGATATTGTAAATGCAAGTAATTAAAAGGCTGATGCAAGTAATTAAATGGCTGCAACTTACGCTAGAAGGTTTCATAGCTTGACACATTTATAAAACATGCTAGTTCTCCTTTGGGACTTTGAATTCCTTGTTTCTGCTATAACCCAGCTCCATCACAATTTCCTTCACATCCCACTTCGCTTTGGCTTTGGCATGGTCCGGCACCCTGTATTTTAGCCAGAGGTGCTCTATGTCCATTAGGGTCAGATTTGCATTCAATTTTAGACCACAGCAATGGACATCCACCTGCACAAACGTGTCAACAATGTTATTCTCTACAACAAGAAATCCCTGCTACTTTTTCTCCACTAACCTGTACAATTTGTTCCACAACTATTTTCACTACTATTGTTTTCAAACAGTCTAAATATCAATTTCTTACCAGACAATCTGTCCAATTCTTTGTGTGTGTGTAGCTGGGGACATAATGTGCTTTTGTTTGTTAATGTTTGTTTTAATGCCATGATAGCTGATGAGGTTTGAATCCTTTTTGAATGTGAAAAGGGGAAAGTGGATGATCTTAGCATTTACTTGAAGTGGGCCATTGTTACTTGAAATCAAATAAGATGATCTATTTATGATTATGCAGGTTTTGGAAATAAATCATGCAGCACTTAGCTCCGCTAACTGTTATTCCAAAACAGCAAAACCCTTTGTTTTGAAGAAGTATGAACTATATATGTCTCCTCAATCGGATTAACTGCCTAAAACACCACTCTAACATGCCTTTGTATTGTTTGGATGCATGGAAAATTGTCACATTCTTCATATCTACACTAATATGCAATAAATAACCAATGTACGTAAAACTTTACCTCTGATTCGTCCATTAGATTCAGCTTCTGCTTGAGGTATTTGCGGATGGTAGACACTGTCATGTCTTGGTCCCTGCAAATAGATGGCAAATTAGTTGCCTCATTTTTTAGTAACAGAGGAAATTTGAACAAAAAAACATAAATCTTCTAGTTTTGTCCTCCTAGAGATCATAAGTTGATGAAACATAAGCTATCTGAACCTAATAAGTAATTGGATTGATATCAGACTATACTTGTCTTGCACACGAACTCCAATACTAATCTCTTGGCTACACAATGAGAGAATATTCTAAAAAATTACAGAAATAGTGATGCCCTAGTTCATGGATTGCAGTCTCGCAATGTTTGATGAGCAGAGAAGTTTTGAATTTGTTTTGATGTGAATGCATGTGCACGTCTGTATGAATCATTAAATCAAACTTACTTGAGACGGATGTAGGCTTTGTCCAGCGAAGGGTACTTATGGCCATCCCTAAAACAGGTAGGAGAGAACTGTTTTATGAGATCTATTGAGAAACTCAAGAGCACCAAATATATTTTCTAGGATATTTTGGACAGTTTTTACTTACTCGTCTTCTTGGGGAATAAAAGAAACCCAAAAGGATCGAGTTGTCTTTTGTGCCACATCGAAAAGTAGTTCTCTAACACCAGCATTTCCCTCAATTCCAGATGATTTGTCCTCTGAATTTTCTTCTTCAACATTAGTAGGTTCCACCTTCCCTTTGCCTTTTTCTTGGCTAGATGATACTTGACGAGCTTTTTCTTTCATTCGTCGTTTATTCTTCTTCTTTCCCTTAGGTTTTTTACCTTTTTTCCCTGCATCTTCAGTATCTTTAGCAAAATTTTCTCCGATTTCCTCTGGAAAACCTACATTCTCCAGCAATGGTTTTGTAGCCTGTGCGCTGGACTCAGCAATTTCCAGCTTCGTGTTCTCAGCTTGTGATGTTTTGGTTCCTGCAGCTCTTTTCGCAGCCTTGATAACTTCATCTATAATACCTTGCAGTTGCTTATCAGGTCTGAAAAGTTGACAAATTAGCTCGTTTCGAGTACCTTTACATGTTAGTGAACAATTGGAGGGAAAAATAACTTAAAAACATTGAAGTAAATGTAGTATGTCATTAGTCTGGCTTGTTTGTGGCTCTATTCTTAGAGAGAGAGAGACTGCAGAAAAGTGTGAACTCACCTTAGATATTTTTCAGGAGAGGGACCTAGGACTTTTTCGCATACTGGACAGCGTTTGGTTTTAAACTCTTCAAGTTTCGGAATTATGCAGTCCTTGCAAACTGCAAAACACAAAGGGATAGTCATAGATAGGAATGTAAAACATTAGTTCTCTGATTGCACAGTTTTTTTTTCTTAACTATTCTCATCTTCATTTTGTTTTATTTTGCCTGAGTTATAAAAGTCCGTTTCCAGCATTTAATTAGGAGAAAACATGAATGAACAACTCTAAGTCTGTTACAGTTACAATTTCCTTGCATCACACCAAGCAAAGGTTGAATATGATTTGGTTATCACCCACGATTCACTAAACATAATCTTACATATTCACTTATGTTCTAAACACATCAAGTCTACGTGTTTATTTTTCTTCTCTCAATATGCAAATCTAGCTATTTTCTTGACTACAGATTCAATTGGTTTCAATGTTCTAATATTTCAACATACAAAAAGATATATCCATACTTTAAGTCACAGGGTGAACTTGAAAAACTAGTAAATCATTAGATGAACAAAATATGGGTATTTTCAGAAATCTAATTAAATAAGCTATTGTGTTAGGTAACACTATTTTTAAATGATTTTTTCCAAGTAAAAAAGCAATTTATCATGACATCAAAACCATATTTGATCACTTTATCACATAAATAATCTTATATGAATCTTAGTATATAAATAATGTAGTTAAACACAGATATCTAAGTGCTTCTATACATGCGACTAAACTGGCAAAAAGCAAGCAAGTCTATGAAAAACAAACATCACTCAAAAAAAGAATTTTAAAAAAGCAAGAAAACAAGAAAATGCTGAAAACAAGTGTTACCAGGGTACCAAATGAATGGCATGTGTCTGTCCAACATGAAATTTTTAATTAGATACTAACCTTGAAACAAAATAAAAGAAGCCAGAAGTAAAGGAAAATGTTTCTGCTACATAATCAATCAGAAGTTATGTATAAATACATGGCTTCTAAAGAAATATTTCTACACATTTTGGAAGCCTGAAACCGACTCGACTTGTGAATCGCTGTCTCATTTACAAACTGTAAACAAGTAGGAACTAAGATCATAACAACAACAATAAGTAAAATCTGCAAATGTGGAAATCAGTAAAATGTAGAGATCGAAGCTTACAAGTATGCAGGCAGACATTAATTGTGAAAGCCTCCTTACAGTGTTTCTTACATATGGGGCAACTCACTATGCCCAAGAACTCTTTCATATCAACCATGACTGGATCCTTTGGAAGAACATCTCTTCCAGCATTTCTCTCTGGAGATTTCTGAACAGCTCTTCTGAAATCATCAGAGGACTTGCTGTTTCTACTGTTTTTCTTGCCTGAAATAAACACATATTGAAAAGGGAACTCAACAAAACCATTAGATTAAGATTCATGAACTCTAGCTATAAATTTAAGCATCAAATATTTTTTCCACCTATGAGAAGAATTCAGTTACATGGAATGTTTCATTGATTGTAGACAAAATGAAAGAAAGAGTTAAGTAGAAGATACTGTT